TGTAAATTGCTTTGGGCAGTATTGACATTTTCACAATGTTAAGTCTTCCTATCCACAAGTATGGTACATTCTTCCATTTTTGTAAGTCTCTTTTGGTTTCTTGGAGTAGTGTTTTGTAGTTTTCTTTGTATTAGTCCTTTGTTTCTCTGATGACATTTATTCCTAGATATTTCATCCTTTGGGTGGCTATTGTAAATGGTATTGCTTTCCTGATGTCCTTTTCAACGCTGTCGTTTTTTGGTATAAAGGAATCCAATTGAGTTTTGTATGTTGATCTTATACCCTGCCACTTTGCTGAATCTTCCAATGATGTCTCGTAGCTTTTTTACTGAGTCTTTGGGGTTTTCTATATATAGGATCATATCGTCTGCAAATAGAGAGAGTTTTACTTCCATTTTCCAATTTGGATGCCTTTAATTTCCCTGTCTTGCCGTATAGGTCTTGCTAAGACTTCCTTCCAGCACAATAATGAATAGGAGTGGTGACAAAGGTCATACTTGTGTGTCTCCTGTTCACAGAGGGAAGGTTTTCAGTTTCTCTCCATTGAGAGTAATGTAGGCTGTTGGTTTTGTATATTTGCTTATAATTATGTTGAAGACTTTCCCTTTACTTCCTATTTTTTTGAGTGTTTTTATCAGGAATGGATGTTGGATTTTGTCAAATGCCTTTTCTGCTTCAATTGATATGATCATGTGGTTCTTCTCTTTTTTCTTATTTATATGCTGAATAATGTTGATTGTTTTTCTACTGTTGAACCATCCTTGCATCCCTGATATGAATCCCACTTGATCATGATGTATTATCTTTTTGATGTGTTGCTGGATTCTGTTGGCTAGGATTTTGTTGAGAATTTTTGCATCTATATTCTTGAGGGATATTGGTCTGTAATTTTCTTTCTTAGTGATGTCTTCCCTGTTTGGGGGATGAAGGTTATACTTGCTTCATAAAATGTATTAGGGAGTTTTCCATCCACCTCTATGTTCTGGAATAATTTGAGTAGAATTCATGGGTTAATTAATTCTATCTGTTGAAATCCATGTGTTTAGTCACCATTTATGTTGTTTTAAAAAGGCATTTGCAATGAATAAGTCATTGGTCTTGCAAAATTCTTTCATTGCTCTCTAGCATCCTGCCTATCCCCATGGCCATATTTTCCAACTAATGATCCTTCCTCTTTGTTTCCAACCTTTGGATTCCAATCACCAGTGATTATCAATACTTATTGATTATATATTTGATGAATTTCAGACAGAAGAAATTAGTAGAATTCTTCAGTTTCTTAATCACTGGCTTTAGTGGTTGGTGCATAAATTTGTATATCAGTGGTATTAACTGGTCTTCCTTGTAGGCATATGTCACAGACAGCATTGTACTTCAAGGTAGATCATGAAATGTTCTTTTTTTTAAAAAATGTTTTATTGTGAATTATATGGTAGTTTACATGAGAGAACTTTAGTTTTACATTCATTCCATCATATATCATCTCATTGCCATGGTTCCAATCCCCTCCATGCATCATCAACCACCCAAA